CCCCCCCCCCCCCCCCCGTCTCTATTACCTGCCGTGTCACCTATCTATGTATACATTCATATTTTGAGGGGCGGATGAAAATTTTCGAAACTGCTTTTCCGTTCTTGATTCATCGGCCTATTAAAAACTTGAATGACAAAATATATTTATTGGTCTACGATGACCACTTGTAACTTGATTTATTTTTCTCTTGGTAGATAGATAACAATCTATATGCGTATATTTTTCTACTTAAATATATTATTTTTTTATTCAATGCGATGATTTTTCTGAAGAATCATACTTAATGGCATCTGGACGAATTTTATTTCAAAATAAATATCGAGCTGCAGCAGCAGTACGTTTTAAACAACGTTATTGTAATGTACAACGCTCACTTTCTAATGATGATCTATCAGCCGAGTAAGAAAAAAAATGTGTACAAACGATGTTTTTTTATTAGGAGATATAAATCTCGTTATTTTAGCGCAGAGTAATTGTGAAAATATTAGGTCTTCGATGTTTGTGATTTGATAATATGACAAATGAAAGAGAAAAGTGATATAATATGTTTTGATTAACTCATGCGCCTTTTTTTTTATCGATAAATCATACCTTGATGCTATACGTGTTTTTCGTCGTTCTGTCAATGCGAGAAAAAAGAACGTAACAGAAACGATGAACATAAATGATAACACATAATTGATAAGAAATTTATTACTATTAGATCGTTGTCGACTTCTTTTACTTTATTCTTTATTCATTTCTTTTTATAAGTGCATATGAAAAATTCATTATTAATTTAGCCAATTAATTTTTTCGACAAACAGATTAATGTATATTTAAGTAATTAAAGATTACTGTAAGGAAAAACGAACGATAATATTTATTTTATTGGTTGCACTTGAGCAATCATATTGTCTTTATGTGGGTGCAAAATAAGACAAGACATTCTTTAGTTGTTCTTTCTCCTTCACATTTTTGCTTGCGGTTTTACTTTGAGGCCAGTGAGACAAAAAAAAAGAGAAGAAGAAGAAGAAGAAGGAAAAAAGAGAAGGCGTCGTCACGTCACTGATGTGTTGCTGCATCAAGTATCCTTTCGTATGTTTGCTCGCTTTCGTATTTGTTGAGAAGAGTACACATATGAGAAATGAAGTTCGAAGAGAAGAAATATATTTAAAAAAATCTGAAAGAATGAAGAAAAGAAAAAAAACGAAGACGACGAAGCACGGTTTTCTGTTGTCGAAATGAAAAATCATTATCTGGACAGTTCATTTCTTCTATTCCTTTTTTTCGTTTTCATCGCCATATTTATTCTCTCATACATTTCACTTGTGTCTACGATTACTTCAAAGATACTTCGCACCGATTACATGGATATTGACAATGACGATAAAAGCAAAACTTATTCACGCGCTTGTGCTCATCGAGTAACTCTTCAGCTGCTCTAATATACCATCTTCCTTTTCTTCATCTGTCCATTTCATTTCATACCGAAGAGCTCGAATAATACATTACATTAGTGCATATTACACCGTTAAGTGCATTAAGTTATCCTATAGAAATAAATAGATCGACGTGTAAATAAGAGAACAAACACGAAACAAATGATTACCTTACAAAATTCTGATGTTGACTCAATTGGTCTCTCTGATTATTATTCACAGATATTGGACGGTAGAAGGTAAACATAAATATTGAGTAAAAGAGAGGAATGTGATTAAATCTCATTTGCCTTAGGGAAATAAACTTCAAATGTAATGTTATTCTTTCAAATAAATTACGTATTTCTAAAGTACACTGAATAGAAAGATTAAGTTGTTAATTATACTAATAATCAAAGATTTTTGTAAATACTATGAAAAAAGAATTGACTAGTTGTTTCGGAATTTTCCTTTTACTTTCTGTTCATATTGTATAATTACTATTGATTAGTTCAAATATATATTTAATGTTCTGTTGAAGGTTGTCACATGGTGAGACAAATGGCAATCCGCGTCAACGTGCACGTCATTCAAATTGGTCTAGTTTAGGAAGTCTTAATAGTTTTGGTGATTCAACAACAACTCCGCCATCGTCACAAGGTCACAATGGTAGTGGTGCAAGTAACGGAGATGCTAGCGGTGCCAGTGCACCAAAACGTGAAACACTACATAGTCGTTTTGACTTTAAACAAACATTAGGCAAAGGTACATATGGTAAAGTCAAATTAGCTGTCGATAAACGTAACAATGAACAAGTAGCAATTAAAACAATAAAAAAATCACGCATAGAAAATCCACATGATTTGGCTAGAATTCGACGTGAAATCGATTTTATGACAAGTCTTAATCATCCAAATATTATTAAAATAAAAGAAGGTTAGTTTTAATTTTGATTTAATTTATGCAAAAACAAAAAAACTTTTTTCTACGATAGTTTATGAAAGTCGTGAAAAAATTATTCTTGTTATGGAATATGCTAAGGGCGGTGAACTATACGATTATCTTAATCGTAAGAAACGCATACCGGAATCTCAGGCACGATCAATATTTCGACAAATCGTATCAGCTGTTCATTTTCTCCATAAAGTATATCAATGGATAAATTAGTAGTTTTTTAGAGAAAAAAATATCCTTTCTTTTTGTTTTGTTTAGAATCATATTGTTCATAGAGATCTCAAATTAGAAAATATTTTAATTGATGACAAAAACGATATTAAAGTAATTAGAAGAAAATAAAGAAAAAATGCATATTTTAATCAATGGTATTTTTCTTATTGTTTTATAGTTAGCTGATTTTGGCTTGAGCAATAGTTGGTCACATCGTCAATTATTGTATGTGTGAAGTTATTTTAATATATATAATGCTCTTGTTTTTAATTAGACATACATTTTGTGGATCTCCACTTTACGCCTCGCCAGAAATCGTCTCTGGCACACCGTACAAAGGTCCAGAAGTATGTACATCGTTGTTGATAGGGTTTTTCATTTCAAAAACTATTCGATAAGTATAGGTCGATTGTTGGTCATTGGGCGTTTTGCTCTATACACTAATCTTTGGTACAATGCCTTTTCAAGGCGGTGATTATAATCGATTAGTACGAAATATAACGACGGGAAACTTTATTCAACCTCGTGAGCATTCAGGTAACCGAAATGTTTATAGAATTATTAAAAAAAAACACGAAGGGTAGAGCCATAGATGAAAGGATCCCTGAGGTTATTGTTGCATCCCATAGAAAAGACCTTGCTACAACAAACAAATTTCTTTAAAATCAAAAAACACCTCTAGGCGCACTCGATTTGATACGTAAATGTCTCACTGTATCATCAAGAAAACGTTTCAATATTGACGATATTGCTATGCATGAATGGATTAACGTTGGTTTTTCATGTCCACCTGCAGATGTTTCTATTGTGACGAAAATGGAAAAGTATAGTAATATGAAAGTACCACGTGGATCACGATCTAAATCCAATGATGCACCGAAAACAATGTCACTAACGTCAAGTGCTAGATTGAAAAGTGTTCAAGCATCTGTACCTATGTATTCTATAGCTAATGATGGCCCTTCGTTTATTCTGCCTCAATCATCACTATCAAAAGGATATGAAACACAAAAGGAATCAAAATTGAAATCGATAACCAATGAAAATACTCAATTTAAAGTATCGAATCGATTAAAAGACAATAAAACAACAAAAACTAAAAAAACTGAATCATTGAAATGGAATCAGCCCAATAAAACGATACCTTCTCCTAATAAATTCTATGGTAACATATCATCAACACTTTCATCATTTAGACCTCCTCCGATGCATATGATGATGTATTAGAAAATAAATTATTAGGAATAATTCAATTTTATTTTATTATCTTCTGTTTTTATGATTCTCTCTTTCGTCTATTCATTTCTATTTTCTATTTCAAACTTTCTTTCTATTTTTCGGGATCTAAAAACAAAACAAAACTAACCTAATCCTACGCTTTAGCATGCACATAAGTAAAAATTTGGTGATGGACTAAAAGTTTATTTAGGTTCCATTCTTTATTATATATTTTTTCCTCAATATCATAGGTGCTCTTTCACTGATACGATATTGCTTGACACCTGATGCTAGTCTTCGTGCTACAACAAGAGATATTCTTCGTCATGAATGGTTAGCCACTGGACCGGTTCTTTCTTTACATCTTAATTCAACAACAACAACAACAACAACGACACCAACAACACCAACAACACCAACAACACCAACACCAACATCTTTGTCACGTGTTCATCAACCATTGCAGAAAGAAGATCATGAAAGAGCTCATTCACGCTCAACATACCATGAGAAATCAATATCACCAAGCAATTCACTTGCTGAACTTGAACTTCATACAAGTTCATTTTTTGATACGGCTAAACTACGTGACAATAATTTAGGAAAAAATATAGAACAACAACGACGTAATCGCGTATCAGCTATATCAGATTCTACACGTTATTATTCATCGAATAATACAAAAACAAATGCATCAACATCACGACCAACTTATCGACGACCATTAAGTTTATCACTGGAAGATCAATATTCAGATAGTCCCATAGATTATCATTATGCATCAACTAGTGAAAACCCATCGAAATTACCATCATCATCATCATCACCACCACCACAACCACCACCACCACCATTATTATTAACGACACAACCATATACTCGTCGGTCTCGAAGAACAGTTTCGCCTACATCAACAAAATCAGCAACAACATACGGTACCAATGATCGAGTGACTTCGCCACCAGCGACTCATCGCTATTCACTAGCAACAACACATGAAATAAGACCATCAACATCACCGATAAACCCATCAAAATATCTTGTCTCATATGATTTTGATTCAACATTACGTGATCTTAAACGTAAACCTGTTATTAAACATGCACCAACAATGATACCGCCAACATCTGAACTCAATGTTGTACCAAGTCTTTCAAATTCAACAACACCTATTGCACCATCTGTATTTACAACATCGGCTATTAAATTTGCTTCACCACCTATTCGACGCATCAGTCCCATTAATAATCAGGAAACGAATGCTAACACTTCCCTATTGAGCACTGGGCGACTATTAAATAATTCAATATCTAATCCAATTTCTAACATTGATAATAGTATCAATACAGCTATTACTAATAATAATCGTCATGCATTATTAACTTCATTTGAAACAAATAATTTACGGAAAAGTCGTTTACTAGATGATAACAATAATTTGATATCGTTGAGGGTGCACGATTAATAATCTTTTCTTCCTTCTCTTTCACGTTTTCTTTTCTTTTTTCTTGTCCCAGTTTCAACTGTGATACTGTGTGACTCTCACTCATAAAGGACGATAACAGTAGTAGACATTGATTCTCCTTATCTGTACATCTACCCTTTAAATTGATCTCTTTCTTGTTTTCTTTTGTTTGTGTGTTTCGATAAAAGTTTTCATATGTGTGTGTGTGTGTGTGTGTGCCCGTTTTCTTTTTTAATTATTCAGGTTGTGTAAAACAAAACGAAATCTATATTTCTGATGTTACTTGCTGCTATGAAAATATTTATATAAGTGTGTCTTTTATTTAAAAGTTCGGTTTTCTTTTTTTTTTCTTTTGTATCGTAAAAAGGAAGAGTGAAATTAATATAAACCTTGAAGAAGAAGCAAAACTATAAAAGAATTGATTTATATTGTGTGTTCTAGCTTTGGCATTAACATCAAGGTTAACTTTATTATTTAAAGAAAAAGAGAAACAAATCCGCTTCAAGGAGCTTTTATTTATTTAATTGTTGACGCTAGTTTGTTTGCAGCCGCTTTGGTATCGTCTGCATAACGAGCAAGACGAAAATAGCTCAGACGTTCCTTAAAACAAATAAGAAAGAAAGAACAAATCAAAATATTAGTTTTTAATTCATGGACGTTTTTATGTACCGGATCGATATCGACTATTGTATCAGATACATCATCAAGTTCGTCCTTTACTATTGAATCATTCATCTATAGAAATAGGAAAACAAAAAAGAAGATATTCTCGTTTCAAATGTTAATCATTTTCTTTTTTTTACTTCATTCGCAGGTGGTAAACAGTTAGGTCGACTAAGACCAAACATTATCTGATAAAGTTCAACAAGATCATTTCGAATATGATTATCATATGCAAAATTTCTAAAACAAAAGTATTCAATAGATTTATTAGATTTTTTGTTTTTTTGTCTTCATACTTCATCAATGACCACAATCGATGAAGCGTTATTGGATTGTTGAGACAACATGTTTGGTTCTGTCGAAATGGTGGATGACGACACAAATGTTGTACAATTATTCTTCTAGAAATTAAAAACAGTATGAGAACAAGAACAATATTCGAATTTTTGCCAACCTTAGATTATAGTCAGGGTCATTGCCAATAAGATTGAATATATATTCAAGTACATCTTGATTCATTCGAGCTAGAAAAATAATACAAGCAAATCTTGTCAAGTGTTTTATTGATTAACGATTTTCAAGCAATTTTTTGTTTTTATTGGAGACAGCCATCAAGGCAATAATAAAATAGTTTGACCTTGTAACGTTTTCTGAATGTCAACTCAATCGTTTCGATGAATTTTATTAATATTCTCAACTAATAAAATTTTTCACTTGCACTATCTAGTACTCAAAATTGATATGATCAAATGTATATCATCTTACAAGTATGAATTATTGGATAATAGATTAGTTAACGAAAAAGAATCCAATGAAGAACTCGTATCCGTATACGAAAAAGAGCAAAACGTTCTGGTTGTATCCTGTTCATAATTTTATAATCGATCCTTTGTTTTTAATATGCGTTCTCTTTTCGTTCAGGTGTTCATCCGTTTTCCATCGGTGTTTATTTACATCAGTGAGAATTTAGTAATATATGGTTAGATGAAGAGCAGACGATTCGAAAGCTAAATAATACATTGTTTTCCTTCTACTATCTTCTTTGTTCTTTTTAAATCTATCGCGTATTTTACTTTCAATTTGTTCAACGAGTATTTCGCAAGCTGTTAATCGTACACGATCAAACATTCCATAAGTTGCGTATTCATAAAATACATTAATATCAATCGGGATGCCACTAATAATATATAATTTATGTAAAACTTTTAAGCAGCTGCATGTAACGCAAAATCCGTATGATGGAATAATTTTATCAAAATTAAGTTGTAATAATATTTCATCAAATATTCTCTTTGTATTATTATCTAGTGTATGATTCAATAAAAGATCAACATTTGTTGTCGTACTTGTTAATCCGACATTTGTTAAAGTATTGCCAAGTGCATCGATTAATGATGAACGATAAAAAGCATCGGAAAAACGATTTTTTGAATTTTCATTATAATGGATTAATTCGAATAAAAAATTAATTACTTCCGGTGGACATACACGATCTTTATTGCGTTGAAATGCTATTGCTTGCGGAATGGTTTTTTGAATCATATACATCTGGGGGTTCGAAAAATCATTAATACGTACAATGTTTGCTGATGGTGCTGTTAATGATAAATTATTTGTTGACGACGTTGTTACATTTGTGGTTGTCAAGGTCGAATTTGTTGACATAAATACGCGACGAAAAAAACTTAATGTTGCTAATGTGCCCGTCCATGTATTTGCCATAGAATTTGCAATCTAAATAAATATTTAATATTGTTATAATGTTAAACACTATGAAACTAATCTCACACATTAGATAAGTCATTTTTTTATCATTGATACGTAGACTGAAAGATATATGAGTCTATGCTCCTCGAAGAGTATCGAGTTTCGTAAATAAACAGTTCATAATGAAATATTTTTAATAGGAGATTGGATACAAATATTGTGATTTTAGAAGCCTGACGTGTCCGATTTTGTTTTTCGATCAATCCATAGTCACGAGCATTATGAATGAGCTTATTTTCTATAGAGAATCATACTGAAAGACTAACAATACGAAGTGTAAACTAAAAGAGCTGATTGCAATCGTAAAAAAAAGCCAATTCTACAGGTGTCAATGCATATATCATTTATCGGCATGAATAAACACTTATTCATGTTAAGTTTTCTATGTCGTATAGATAAAATATTATCGTAAAGAAAAACTAATTCAATTTTAGAACCGTAATTATGTCAGAAGTAACGTGTCTATTTAGGTTCAATATTTCGTTAGAATAATGCGAGATTTTCTTCGTGGAAATTTTTCCCTTGGAATTTTAATGCTGAAATTTCAATCGAATAGCTGTAACTCGATAAAATCGACATAGACATATGAAAGCTTTCAGAGTTGTTATTTAAGCTCTAATTGACGTGTCAGCTGCAATCAAGGATTGTCGAGGGCGAGACTTCCTACTGAGTAAATATTATTATTGATTACTGGAAACTTTTGACATTTGTACAAGGATTGTTATTGCCTTGTTAAATCAATTGATTTGATATAGATATAAAAAAACAAGGCATCGACCTTATTCTAATTCATGGAGTGCACTTCAAGAAAACTATCTATGGCAGCTACTCATCAGGTATTTCATAGAAAAATAAAGAAAAACTAAAATTCATACATGAGTAAGAACATGTGCACATTCTATGCGAACACGATAAAAACAATGTGATGAATCGAGAACGGTTCCAAGTGTTTCTCGAGTATTTTGACTAGGATATCGTTTAAGTGCGTCGAGCGCTTCAAATTGTGAAAGAATGTCACGTTCATAACGTAATTCACATTGCCAATTATAATCAGCTTGTTCAAATTGTAATTCACGAATAACTTTTAAATCTGGATCAATTCTTATCCACAGTATTGGACATTCAGGACTAAAACAACGGAGAATGTAAATTAAATTTTCTTTTCAAAGAACATTTTCTTTACTCCATTTGATTAAGATCCATATCGACTTCATCGCCGGATATTAATGGAATTTTCTTTTTTTTATTTCTAAATAAAATAATATTTTTGTTTGTTTCAATTTTGCTTTTGAAAATTTTTATCTCACCGACGAACTTTGGAATGGCATGTCAGTTCATATTTAGTCACACTATCTTCTAACAAGATTGTTTGACTAAATGAACCTTCCAATTCTTGTACACGTATAACTAATGAACCCTAAAAGATATCATCATTTTGTTATTTCATTTTAGCAAAATATTTTCTTTCGTTTTTTTCATACTAGAAATTTTTTTGAACCTTTAATTGTCGTATCCTGTTTGAGTTCTAATTCAACAACGTTTCGTTTACGACTAAATGTAAAACTTCCGATTAATCTTGGGCAACCGGATTCATATCTATCATAAAAAAAATGAATCACATTTTTACAGACAAAAAAACGCAAATGTTCTAACATACACCCATTGTGTTAATAGTGCTTGAATATCTTTCGTTGTTAGTGTACTAACAACACGTGAAAATGATTTACTTGATATATGTAAACGTGAACGAGAGCTAAGTGAAGCATCTTTCAGACAAGCTGTAGTGGCCAAACACATAAGTTTATTAAGAATCTAAATTAAAAAAAAGTCAATAGATTAGTCGATAACTTATAAAAATATTTACCTGCATCATAATTTCTCGACCGATGAAATCATCAATCATTCGTACGACTAGATGAGCTTTTTTTGCTGCTGCCTTAATAGAAAATGTTTGTTTCCGTTAGGAATGGATTGTTCAATGGAATGAAACAAAATTTATACTTCAAGATATTGTGATGACATCATTGTTCCACGACGATTATTTACACTTGTTATATCTGATTCCGATTTTATCGGAGCGAAATCAAGACGAATTGGATTTTCTTCACGTTCATAACGAATCACATCAAGCATATCCTAGATTTTATAAGAAATTTCTCTTTTGTTTTCCTAGCCGATTAATTATTATTATCTACTCGATTAAGATTATAACGATATTCATTATTTCCAAATGCTCGTTTTGTGTACAAACTTGCTAAATATAAAGCTAAACCTTTCAGTAACCACCAATCACGCCTAAAACAAAACAGGAATATTTCTCTAGAAATAAAATGTAAAATAACCAACCAAGAACGCATCGTTATAAAACAACCGAAAAATTGATTTGCTAATGCAAATGCCATTTGACTTCTTGCATGCCATGTTGCTTCAATAACAGTTGATGGATACAATAGGTTAACACTAGAAAATGTAAAAGAAATGTTTTTTTTCAAATATTTTATGTGAATTTTCACTTACTTAAATATAGCCATAGACGCAAATGGTACACATTCAGCGTAAGGTTCAGTAACAAATACTTGTTTGTAATTTGGATATTGACAACTTGCATTCAATAATTCTTCATAGTATTCAAGTGGCTGAAGTAAAATATAAATAAGACCTTTTCAAATGTAAATAAAGTTTTTCTTGACTACTTCATGAACAAAACTTGTGGTATTTGTTAGAAGTGTTAATAAGTCAGGTAGACAATAGTTTGATATTTCCTGAGTATTTGAATCGACAACTGATTCGAATGATCTTGAAATTTAAAAACAGAACGAGGCCATATTTATATTTTTCATTGGAAAAACAACAAAAATAAATAGTCAATACCCAATAGCAAGTCCAATGAAAGGTGCAGGTGCTGGAGTTGATAGATAGAAACGATAAGTTTTCAATTCATTATTTGTTGTACATTCGATAAGTTCTCCAGATGCCACGACAGTTAATGATTCTTCAACTGTTACTTCAATTGTCCACGTTGCAGGTTCACAATAACTATCTACACATGGGAACCAAAGTCGAGCATCATGGCCAGTTGTGAACAAATGACGACTTAACTGAAAGAAAAAATAGTTATAGTTTTGCTCGACATTAGACTTCTACTTTGTGAACTTACACGGGATAGTTTTGCATCGTCATCAGGTATAAAGAAATGTATACCACTCTCAGGTCTTTCAAGTGAAAAATCAATTGTAACTGTATAAACTATTTCCGATGTATGACTATTATTATCATTATCAGTGGTTGAAGAATTTTGTACTTGTTTTTGCAAATGTGATGGAATAAATATTGTTAATTCCCCGTTACCTTCATCCGGATCCACATATTCAGAAAAACGTTGTTGACGTTTCAAAAATGATTGTAAATCGCGTCTAAATAATATTTTAATTGACATAACAAAATCATTCTTGATCTTATTTTTGATAATTCAAGTCTCAATAGTCTAACTTTCAGCAGTGATCTCGAAAAGATAGAAACTTGAATACTTTTCAGTCTGTTCAATAAGATATCTGTCTCAATTTGATGAGACGTTTGCGAACACGAGAAAAAATTGTCACAAACGGAGTCAACGATGAGAGTCAATCGTACGAGTGAGAACGTATTATTCAAGAGAGATGACCTGGAAATGTGCTAAGAGTCTACTGCATGCACTAAAAGAAACAAACTATTCAAGAAATGTTATGTTTCCGATTATGTTTACAATGGATTCTGTAATTGCTTTCTCTGAAACGAACCTGCGACTTAAGAGGATAATACCCTTGCCCTTCTGTTACCTTTCAATATAGAGCATTTGATTTCATAACCCAATATTTTCCCGACAACTGCTATTAACTATCGCTATTGATCAAAGGTTAGCTAGAACTTTCGATACATATCTCTTAACCGCACATCCTTAGTCCGAATATAGATTTAAATAAAACAATGAAACTATCTGCATGTTATCATGGAAATAAATTTTCTTTGATTCAAATTAAAACTTCCAATATCAGATTTCTTCTCACCTTGGATCATCATCCGAAAGAATCTGTATATTTGGATCATCATATGAAAATTTCACATTTCGTTCACCATTTATTGTTACCGCATAAATCGCTAGATATATTCGATTTGTTTTTATTTGCCATGACATTTCATATGTATATTTTTTTCTCTCTATTCATTTTACTTACTTAATTGACGTGCATTCAACTTGATAACATTAAAATTTTTCACAAGTGGATGTATTGTCAATTCCGTATAGCCCTATTATTATACATGGGCAAACAACGATATAGTATATCGTGAAAGAATAGCACACTCACAACTAAACAGCGTTTGTCGAAGCTGACACCTGTTATACATAATGTCTGATGGGATCTAGATTAATAAATTTTATTTATTCAATCATTTGATGAAACAACCAAAAAGAAAAAATTCCAACTCACAGAACAAATGAACGTGTTACTTGACGTAACTCTTCAAGTTCCATACTGAAAGAAAAAAGTCTTAAAATTCTCATATTTATGTTTCTTGTGTTTTTTTTTCTCAATATTCTTTTCTTTTCCATCTTATCAATAAACAACAATGCAAGCGCAAAAAAAATTACACAAAACAAAAAAAGAAAGTTACAGAAACAGTACACACATGTAACAAACAAGAGGAACAATAACAACATTAAATCGAAGAGAACCTTGGCTTTGTTTTTATTTCGTTCAGAGAATCTACTAAAAACTGTTCCCATAAAAACAAATTGAACATGTACGTATATTCGAAAGAAGAAAAAAAGAGATCAAACAACTTTTAGTTATTTTCCTTGTCTGTTGGTAATACTTGACAGAAAAAAAGGAGTAAACAAATGAACAACACACACACACGGTTAATGAAGAACATTATATACATTGAAATATATCTAGGAGAATCTTGAATAATCATACATCGAGAAGAAAATCACTGCATCGGACGTCGAAAAGAAAAACGAAGAAGAAAACAACCACAACACCGAGAAAAAAATGAGAATACAATATGTACGTACGAATGAGAAAGAAAAACAAAAACTATGTGTTACATATACAAAATATGTCTATTGGTTTTTCTTTTTTAATTTGTCAATAGGTTTGGCGGAAAAAGAAAAATCAAACAGTCGACTAGAACCGACACGTTTGAAATTTATAAATATATACATATGTGTTGGTAGGCATTTTTTTTGCTTAGTTTCTTTTCTTTTTTTTAGGTCAACATAAGAAAGATATAAATTGCTGACTAAATTTATTTAAATCACAAAACTTGCACACGTTGAAGGCGTTGAGTTAGTTTTTCCGATAGAGGTGAATCGGATGTTGATAATCGAAATAGAAGAAATAAACCGACTTTATCTGCCGATGCAATCCAACCATGAGTACCAGGATTTGGATTAAAGCGTATCTTTAAAAACAATATAAATATGAGATTTCAATTTTTTTGTTTGTTTTATTATTACTTTTCGATATGTATGTACTTTGTGTGTTTCATCATGTTGAGGATCCACAGTATTACTTGCGTATTCCTAAATAGAGATGATGATTTAAAATTCGAATATCTATACGAATCAAAATAAATTTACTGTTCGTTCAATAGCAATTTGCACACAATATTGTCCAGTTGGAATACCACATTGCGTTTGATTTTGATTAAATTGTTGCATATTAACATGATCTGTTAAATTGCCTGTAGTTGCACCACTAGTATTCGTTAAATAAGTTGATAGTTTTGCTATACACTAAAAATTTCATTTTTTTATGTTTATTTACAAATTATTATTCTTTTATTATTTCTCTTACTGCACTTGGCCGAAATTTTGGATTATTTTGTGTCCAAGTCGTAGAATCACCACGAGCAATCCAAACTGTACCTAAACAATTTATCATATAGATAGAACATTTTTTTATCATCGAACAAAACTTGCGCCAAAAATTAAAACATAGACAAGATAGCACCGATGAGAGTCGAAATCGAATACTCAATTTTAATCTGGCCGTGCCAGGATATCTAATTTATCTTTCACTCGATATCTAATCTGCTTTTTTTGTGATTGCAATCGGAACCAAAATGAACTGATTTTTGTCGATATCGAAAATAAATTGCTTTACTCATATGTCAAGAATCGTGATATTTACCATCAAGATCAGCATAGGCGACACCATCAATCCATTCCGAATAATCTAAACTGACAATTTGCCAGGCTGATAACATTGATGTTGGCACATGATTAGGAACATTTTGTCCCGGTAATAATATTGAATGTGTTGGTACAGAAAGTAATTCATTTTGATTACTAATAATAATAGAAAAGAAGCGATTACGTTGCAATATTCGATATGTATATATTTTACCTTGCATGTGCACAACCGGCGTATAATGTATCGTGAAGCGTTGATGATGCAAATTCACTTGCATTCGACCAATGACGGTAGCAAAAAATATTTTCATCACGAGTTGTCCATACTCTATAGAAAATAAAACACGATATTTGATTGAAAATTCTAAAAAATAATATCTCATACGTCCAAGATTGTTTATTTTTTAAACTAACTCCAATTAAATGTTCAGAATTTCTTAAGAATTTCACATCTTGTATTGGTGCATCTTCTACAAAAAATCTTCGTACTGGATAGATCAATGAACAATTAGTTGTCTATAGAGAAAAAAAATGCAAGTTATATAACGAAATCTAGAAGTTTCTTAATCTTACTTGTTCAACAAGAGATTTCGAATTCATTTCCCACATTAGAACAATGCCATTTTCATATCCAGCACATAATTTATTAGGATTATCATAACACCAATCCAATGCTGTACAAGATCCATATTCAGCACAACCAATACTACCATCTTTACGTCGATTCAATGGTGGTACAAGTTGTGCACCAGTACTTATTGTACATAAATTTCTTGATGCACCATGTGGAACACCAAATATAATAACAATACCTTGACTTGTGCCAATCGCCAAATAGCTTAAATATGGATCATTGACTCCTGGTCGTTCCGGTAACCATTTCAAACAGGTTACTTGACCAAAATCAGCTGCAACTGTAACATGTAAATTAGGTACATGTAAACTTTGTCGTAAACGTCCGCAATTAAGAATTAAAAGTAATGTTGAGCCTGGTGGCGAACGACGATCAGGATTATTTGCCGGATAATTTCCACTATCATAGGACCATTGTTCAAGTGCTAATGCAACATACTGACTGCCCATAACATCAACAGGACGTGGTAACCATTCAACACAACGTATGGGACGACCAACATTCAAAACAATAACATGTGAAGCAGCAAAACTATCCAATGGATTTAAAAATCGATCACATGAAAGCATCTTCAAAAAATGAAATAGTTATCAAAAACAAGTTTTTCTTTTTAATTCTAAATATTTACTCGAACACGCAAACAACTAGCACCATTACTGAGACAAGCTGCAGACTCATTTTCTGGTATCAATTGTCCAATAGTTGATGCCGGTGCAGAAAATGATATGCGTCCATTGGTTGGAAATTTATAACGTGCAAATGCTGCACGAAACGCTCGATCATTTAGCCGACATGGATCATCTAAATGTTTGGTTTTTTCAAATGAATTCATGCTATTTTAGGTCTTTTTTCTTTGCATACCTGGACATGTATCGTGTGCATCATCATGAAAAAGTTCAAGATGATCACAAACACTACTAACCGATGAAAATGGTATACCACAAAATTTACATACTGCCATAACTAGAAGAATAATACAAAATAAATAAATATTCATCTTTCAATTAGTCTTCATATTTCGAGCTCTTATATATTAGAAGACAGGTATTGTTATCGATTTGCAACTAAGATTAACTTTGAAGAGATATTTTTTTTACCTGGACCTAATGGACAATCGGTTTTTAAATGTTCTTTTAATTTTTTAAGTGTATTAAATTGTGTTTTTCCACGACAACGATGACATAGTACGAAACTCTCCGTACGCAACCGTCCATTAATTTCTTGTTCTTGTTCAGGTAATAACGAATCCGTTGCAAATTCAATATGCTAATGTGAAATAGAAAACTTACGTTTTTATTCAAAATATAAAATTTCTTACTTCTCTCATTCTAGAACGAGCTAATTCAGCTAATTCACTACTGATATCAATCGCACGTGGTGATCGCATCGCAATACCCTTTTGTGGATCATTCTAAAAAGAAACAAGAACTTTCTGATAAAATTTTCTTAATGATCAAGTTTTTTTCATTACATGTTGATCATTCAATATAACTTGATTATTCATTGTTGGAGTTAATGATAATCCAGGATTTATTTGTGTATGTTTTGTATAAGGAGCTACAGGTGTTGTTGCTCCATCAGATTTAGTTTTGGGTGGACGACCACGTTTACGCTAAAATTTAAATGAAAAAAAGAATATATGTATTCATTAACTATTGTTAAAAATTACTTTCGGATCTGAATCATTTAAATCTGATTTAATTATAGGTAAAGACATTTGTTGATTAACCATAGTCGGTGGAATATTATACGTATCTATACCACGTGGTGATACACCTGATGTCATAGCAATCATTGGATTTATCATTTGTGGTTGGGTTGCATCATTTGATGCTTTCTTTTTCTTTTTAGATTTTTTTGAATTTGATCCTCCGCCAGATGTTGTTGCAATAGCTGGTTTACGTGATACATCAATTTTATCTGTAGATACAGCACCGCCGTCTTCAGCACCCTTCAATGAAAACATAATAGAAATGTATTTAGACAACAAAGAAAACACTTGAGAAAATATTTGACTTACATGTCGTGCTAAATGTGTCCGCAATGAACTACGATCAGCTAATTCACTGCCACACATTAAACAACGAAAAAAAGCTTTTGGATACGGTGATTTTGTGCATGAATTATATAAATGATAACGTATGCCTTCTTTTGAAGCAAAATCAACTGTACAAAATGGACAAACAAAACGACCTTCGCGAAAAGTCGCCTGTCGTATAACATTAAAATGAGGTAAGTCAGGATAAGAGAAAAGCCCGGATTGATGTCGAATATGTGGCCAGGCCTGTGGTATAGGAATAAGAATTAACATCTCTCGATGAATTTCTGCAATATCATGTGCACTTTTATTTGCTTGTGCTTGTGGTTTTAGTTGTTGTTGATCATCATTCATTGTTGTTTGTTGTTCTGTGTCCATCGGAAGTGTATTGGATGAGGATGACATATGAGGTAATTGTTGATGATCATCTGATAAATGATCATCGGGTAATTGTACAGATGTTTGTTCATCATTGGGAATATTCACAAGTGATTCATCATTAGTATTTTCATTGACATTTGCACCAGCACCAGTCGCAATTAAATGCATTAAACCGCTTGAATCCATTGCATTCTGTTGCTGCTGTTCATCAGTTGGCCTAAAATAATAATGAAGTTAACGTATAGAGATTATTTTAACTAATCATTTCAATTAAATTTACCATGGCCAATCATTATTTGTTGTTGATTCTTGTTGCTGTTGATCTGATGAAATATGCGATTGATCAACAACCGAAGATAAATTATTCGAAGGCGAGTCTGGGTCAGCCATAGATGATCGAATTTGTAATTTTTACAACATTCGTGTATTGTCAATTTCCTAGTAAATGATGACATAACGATAAATAGAACCGTTGAAAGATATTATTAATCTTAGTGTTCGGTATTTGGGGACAAGACTTGGTCATTTTTCTTCTTTTTCCTTCTCGTTTTTTTTCTTCTTTTTTTTTCTTTTTTCCTTTCACTACTTTTCCGAAAATCCAGAACATAAGAGAAAAAGAGAGAGAGAGAGGGAGAGAGAGTGAAGAAGAATAAGAAAAAGGCCCGCATTTTCGCCCCTACTTTTTCTCTTCGCCGCTTTTCTTGTCTGTCCCTCTTTTTTCACTCTCACGCACAGATGTTAAATATCCTTTTTCTGCCTTGCTTCAGACTGTCATCATCATTTGTTGTATGTGCTTCTTCGTTCGTCGATTCTTCGCTCTTCTTCGCGGAGGAAGCCGGGAGAGGGAGTAAAAATAAAATGGAGAAGAAGAAATAATACAAGCGAAACAAAAAAGAAAAAAAGAAGAACGTCAACTAGTTGGAAGAATCAACGGACGGAGTGTGTAGAGAAGAAAAAATAAAAATGGAAAATGAGAAAGAAAGAGGAAGAGAGGAATGAATGATTGTCCAACGAGAAAGAAAAACATTATTCTATGGCCATTTTCATGCAATTTAAGACTCTATTTAAATATCAGTGAGAAAACAGTATCAAAAAAAACTTTTTTGAAATAAGTTTATGGATTATTAAAGTCTTTTTTGAAGGTTTCCCTATTGAATAGAATACAGAATAGAATATTGTGCATAAGTGTGTAACAGTTTGATTGGATCAAAATGAACGATTCATAACATACAATGACTCATGAATAGTTGAAAAAAACAGGAAAGCAAAGTACTGATGTAGGTCGGACAACACTCAGAGTGTAAGGAATATGAAACTGGAGAAACTGTTCTTTAAAGCTTTCATAGATATATTTAGAGAAAAATAAAAATAAAGCAATGTTGCTCGTCAAGTGCATCTATCTATTATTTATGAGTATAAATCTTAATCATTCTTTTAGTGTAAACGCAAAATGTTGTGTTTTATAGAAGCATCAATTATTTGAATGTTTTTCGATGTTATAAATACTAATTTCTTAAATACATCATTCGTTGATCTTCTGAATATGTTCATCGTTATTCAAAACATTATCCATTGAATTTATAGCAAAATAATCTTAATGAATACCTAGTGCGTGCTGATAATAGATATCACGTAATAATTTACTGAAAGTTTCTCCCAACATGGTATTATCATTGTGAATTTATTCTTAATGATATATTTAAAAAAAAACATTTTTGATATTTACAATTTTCGAGAACGAACTCTGACGATAATACTTAAAAGTATCGTTATTTGCTGATGTTAAATCAAACTATACATTCTAAAATTTGATCGCTTATATTAAATATTTAACAGGTTGTTAACTAATCATATATAATAACAATATATTTTGATTTCAAATAATAACATTAGTATGTAAATTTACTCAAGTATTTGTTGCCACAATACAACTCTCTACGATATAAATAATGTATCGAAATGATTTATGTTGTGTTGCAGTTGATAATTGATAATATTTCTTGTTTTATCGTTTTTCTTTCATTTCAAGAATCAGATAAGTTTTTCATTGAACTATACTATAGATTTAATACGCATGAATTCATGTTGACATTCAATAAAACATATGAATAGGAAAGAATTATGGGTCTCTTCACATGCAGCCTTTAAGGAAAAATTGTCGATGAGCTACCTATCAGTGTTCTCGATAAGACGGTCTTTTTTACTAGTATGAAGACTGAGAAAACATGTTCCTCTCAAGTTTCGCAAAAACATTTTTACTAGAACAACGTAAATAGTAAGAGAGTTTTAATCTTTTTTCTACATGGAAGCTTATGATTTCTGTTTACCTTACACGTTTCATTTTTCACTATTATATTTATTCGAACCGGGCTTTTTTCTTTCTTCCTTTTTTTCATCTCGTTCGTCTATTACCTGTCGAAAGAAGAAAAAAACTAATGTTACTATTATCGTATCGAAAACAACATAGTTCTGTTCTCTTTTATTCTCGATAAATAGACACGTGTCCTTGGCTTTTTTCTATTTATCTCTTTGATTTGTTGGCCTTGCGTTTTGCCTAACTGAATAAGGTCTTCATATTTAGTGCCATGAGGATACCAGCTAACAACATGAAAAAAAAGAAAATAAGGCCGTCGAGTATCTCTCTTACTAGTTCTATAATAATAAAGAAAAAACCAATTTGATCACCAGACAGGAAACTTTCGGTGTATTGATGATGACGATATCGGAAAACAGAACAGAAAAAAAAGAACGGCTATCGCATTCGACTACTCTGCACAACATACAAAAAGAGTATTCATCTCGCATAAAGTCATAGCGTCAATCGTTATTTATTGTTGTTGTTGATGATGATGTTTTCTGAATTCTATGCCTCAGTAAGGTAGAAGAGAAAAAAATATAACATCTATTTAATGTACCGAGCATTAAAATTTAAAGGGTAAATAGTAGTCGTGTTTTTTTTCAATAGCATATGCCAATTCATATTGATCTTTCATGTAGACTATTAAAAGGTATTTAATGAAATTTTCGATGTGATCAAATATCTTGTTTTATTTATAGGCATCTATTATTTTTTCTTCGTCATGTTTAGTTTTAGATTGGTATGATGTTGAAATTTACAGATCGAAATGACCACTGAAGCACAATTTCAACCTATTGATACTCAAAAAGTAAACGGAACTGAAGATGACAATACAAAGCAGGAGCCAAATACTGAAAGAGTAGCAATTACATCAAATGCATCTTCTGAACCACGAGTACGACGGTCACGTTTTTTTCATTCGAAACGTAAACAACGCTTTCAGGAAGAACAAACCAATCAGTCAGAAAATAATGATGGTGACGCTGAATCTAATGAACGAGTTGATTCATCTGACAGTACACGTAAGAATATGATTTATACAATAAAAAAAAATATTATTTAATACTTATTTAATATCTAGAAGAACCTATTGAAGAAACACCTGTTGAGAATATTTCAAGCAGTAACACACATACTACGTCGACCGAAAAATTATTATTTAGACGTTTATCATCGCCTCCGCCTGCTCCCACGTATGCAGATGATACTGATGAAACAGATGGAAGTACAACTTCAGAAGAGAGTCATTTTACAGCATCAGTTGAAGATTTTGATACTGAACGGCAAACTTATTTAACAAAAAAACAATATTGTGAAAAACCAGCATTTGTTCAAAAAAAAGTAGCGGCACCAATCATTTTTTCTGGTTATGAAAGAAAAAAATCACAATCAGTCAAACTAACGAATGCTGATCATTTTGGTTCATGTCATAGGAAAAATGTACATTTCGCTGATGATTGTGGCCTTGATTTAAGTCAAATTAAAGTAATTAAATCCGATGAATTACCACATGTGCCTAGTACTGCGTTTAAAGATTTGAATATTGATCGCAATGATGATGAAACATCATTTTATCAAGAACGTATGAAAACAATAACATATTTAGAACAACAATTTGAGAATCCTATTCATGCTCAAGCCTTTGATGATCGTGTTGCACGTCATAAAATTGCACTAGAACAAGCGAGTAAGTCTATTGAACAGTCTGACACTTGAATCTATTCATATGTCAAGACATTTCTCAAGTTAGAATTTTATTAAAAGTTTTTTTGCTGAATATATTTTAGACGCTATTGATAATCGAATATATGGAACGGCAAAAATTATTTCGTTTGGTGTGAATAAAAGGGTCAAAGTTCGTTTTACTACAGACAATTGGATTAGTTATCATGATAATAATGCAATATATATTATGGATTCTTATGATGGTCTACATGATCGATTTACATTTACATTAGATATCGATCGAGATCGAATATGTGTTGGAAATAATATACAATTTTGCATTGGTTATGAATCTTACGTTGGTCCGGAATATTGGGATAATAATTATCAACAAAATTATCGATTCGATTGTATTTCAAGGACTATTCCCGATTACAGTGGTTAGGAGATTTTCTATTGTTTCTGTATTTTTTTATAAAATACAAAGAAAATCAAAAAGAAAAAGCATTAGATTAATCTAAAATAACAGCGGGATTAGCCGTAGTCAAATATGCCGTAGGAAAAAAATCATCAACGCATATAATTATATATTTATTCGCCCGCCTCTCAAAAAATTATTTTTGTTTTTTTAATACACCGAAAGCAAACTAGATGAATGTTATGTCTTTTTTTGTTTAGAAATATTCTCTGTTTTTTAGTTACATTATGTTTGATTTGTTTTCATTTTTCTGTCCGGTCTATGCTTGCATTAGTATGTATTGGTCATGCTCATTCGTCACATGTACAGACGTCTGTTTTTTTCCTTTGTATATCTAGCAGGGTCGTTTTTTTTTCATTTGTTTCGTATATGAAATATACAAAAAAAGAAAACAAACGAAGAATATTTGAACAACGATTTAAGAATAAGAATACTAAATTTTTTTTTATTTAATTTTTTACTGTGTTTTTTGTTACACTGTTCATGTTTAAGATTATCCCTAAAATATATAGAAACAAGTAACTTAATTCATCTATCGATATCGATGATATTTAAATTGTATGATTATTAAAATATGACGCGTAGTGAATTAGCATTGAAAAATTTTGATAGATAATAATTCTTCTTTCATAATCACTTATGAAATGTCGACAATGTGCAAAGACTTGAGTGTTAATGAATCCTATGCAACTCATGTTGTAGTAATTAGAATGAAATAAGTTACATACAAATATAGTACAATTCAAACTTAACGAGGAGTGCAAGGCGTGAAAGCAACTTTCAGGCCTTTGAGTGTAATTATTAACAGATCATAATATGTGTTATTCTTGTCGGTCTAAAGTTCTCTCGATCGTACAGTTACATCATCTAGTTATGCTAAAGTATAGATAGCAGTAACATGACAATAAATGCCTTAATTTCATCGCTATATATTTACCCAATGTGTTGAGTTAATTTTAGCAGCATACTCAAAAGTAGTATTGCGACCTTCACTACTCGTATATTAACCTAATTGATAAGCGAAGAAAGAACTCAAACTTGACTAATCTAAAGCCAAACTCTAAATAGCGCATTATTAGAGTAGTACAATTCGTTATTCTTTGATAAATTCAAATCGTAGCTGTAATGATTCTGCATGATTACGAATGTAATCAAAGAAAGTAGAACAGTGTAATAAATATTTCGCTTAATAAAAGAAAAATTCAAATAACAATATCTTATCATCTCAAACGAACTGCCTTTCGCTGAATATTGTTAATCATTGAAGAAACTAATTAATCTTATATGTGTATGCGCTGGTTTAAACATTTAATTTTAGATAATCAAATTTTTTGTTCGGTTATTCAAATAGTTGCTGTTGCTCTCTTATCTCTATTGAAGGCCATTGTATATGGTATCATCAAGAGAACAACAACATCGGTTGTTAGCACTTCGGCATAGGGATGCGTCAGTACCAGTATTACTGGTTGTATGGGTACCAGTATTTTTAGTTTGCCAGGATCATCGGTGTCAACACACACCAGTATAGAGAGTTCCACTAACTAACATCTCCAATACTGGTGTGTGTTGATGTTGACACCGATTATCCTGGCAACCTAGAAATACCGGTACCCATACAACCAGTAATACTGGTATTGGTGCATCCCTAACTTTGGCAATGACTTCAAGTGCATTGAATTTTAAGAATTTAAGAAATATATGCCTATAAATATATAGAATATAGATAAATGAATATGTGATATCAACCCGAGACATATTTATCTTACGTTGATGACACTTGATTCCTTAGTGACTTTTTTATATGATCTAAAATTGCATTGAGTTCGATTACTTTGTAGTATGCTGAAGGACATAATTGAGTGATTGTCGTTTGTGTACAATAATACAATACATTTGTTCTTTCTATTTCGTCAAGAATCGTCTAATGTTGACTTTTTACTAAATAAACAAATCATTATTAGTATGAAAATATCAAAGAGCACAAAGATGTCTTATTTAACAAGAGAAATAGAAGCGTATGAAAAATGTGTAGAAAATGTAGACTATTTACATTCAAAGATTAATGGAGAGTTCAATTTTAATGTAAATCTAAATTCTATATGATATTGATACAATGCAAATATCTTTGATAGTTCATGTAAGATTCAGTTGATCAAGTATCGTCAATAAATAAATTTCAAGCTGTAACTTAATCAACGTTATATGAGACAAATGAATTGTCGTGTTCTAACGAATTACGTAGTTTCTCTCTGACGTCGGTTATATCAGATGTCACGTTATTTTTTCATCGGATTTCTCGAAAAATGCATTTAATACCTAACATCTTTTCTACATGAGAACTGTGGTTAAATGGATTGGGATTCTAATGAGCTTCTAGGGAAATTAATCTTTCATATAGTTTAGCTAATGAATAATCGCTAAATTTTTAGTGTAGTTCACAAGATCAACTTGGTGCCTTATTCTTAGATTCGAGAGATGATACTACATAGCAGAAAAAATAAACTTAAGGCTATGAGCGAAGTCGGTGTAAAAAAAAGAGAAGTTATCGAGGCCAAAAAAAGTTTATTGCGAACATTTCTTATATGGAACTGTGCAAGTGGTTCTTTTGTTCAATTGTACCCCGAATAGTTTGTTACTAATTTTTTATCGATTTTATTCCTATGATAAAACAGTAGTTAGAAAATTAATATGTGTCGATTTGTGATCACAAGCTAATTGTCTTGTTCACAATTGGTTGTGTTATTCCTTTTTTTCTTCTTCTACATTTTAAAATAACTTCTGATTGTTTCGAAGCAATGAAAATCGAACTGACGAATTTTGATTATATTTTAATTTAGATATATCTGAAAACATGATGTCAAAAGCTATTTTTAGAGATTTAAATTGGCAACAATAGTAAAAGTAACTGACTGCTACTAATAGGTTTTTATTTTGAGATAGCAAAGCAATATCTCTTAGTACATCTATGCAAAGTTTCCGGTCTTTTTTTTTTTAATAGAAAGAATCGTCTTAATAGGCCATGAAACAAAATTACATGAGAATAATGTTCGACGAGTAAAGCAGACACAACGTGAAACTGAACCAATTCTACGTTAATAACGTTCATTTTACTGTCTCGTATTCAATCGAACTATTCAACCGTGTTCAGATTTCCAAAAAAAAAGGAAATTACGGACATAATATCTTCGAAACTTTGCTATTAGAACACAGCGGATTAATATCTAAGCATGAAATAGATTTCTGCTCTTCAGTATAACATAGTTCGAAACTACACATGCTTGCTACTAAGAATATTCAGTTTACAATTCATAAAATAGGTCGCTGCTTCTGAAGAGCTTGTTATGCTGGTTAATGATGCCTATTAACGTGAGATTTTAATTGAAAATACAATTAATGTGATATCAATTCATTTTAAATAATTATTATAAATGAAATGTTGAACACTTAAGAGCTTTTAATACCTGCCTACTATCAATCAACGTGAAAGTAGCTTGTCAATTACTTTCAAATTGACATGATATCCATTTTACGATAGAAATTATGCCATTGTAAACTGATTCTGATTTCTGAACGAAGGAAATCAATAAATAATTATTTTTAACAGAAGAGCAATTGCTAGTTATCGTCAACATAGAATATATAACTTAAATAGTAGATAGTTTTCTTTTGCGGTTACTTGATTCATATATTTCTGGCACATCCTAGATGGAAGAAAAGCAACAGAAATTCACAATCATTTTCAAAATATCCTGAATGGGTTGCACTAAATCGTATGCAAGGCATACAGAATCAACGGCTGTAGTCTCTCAAATCATCTGATATTTAATTTTGATTAGCCAGCATTTTACTTGGTTTATTTTACAAAACAAAGAAGATTTTCGTTGATGGCAATCTTGATAATTGAGAGAAAATGTTGAATATTAGTTCTGTCCGATTCTAAAAAGACGTGATCTACCGATGTTGATTTCGCTATCACGATGAAGAAAGCAAAAATAAATAAATCTCTTCATTCACGTGCAGATAAAGAAGATGAATCATTATCTCGCACCTTGAGTTATCATAAATGGTGTGATGATAACTGAAGAAATTCCTTCTTTTGCTCTAGAATCATGAAATAAATATATCTAGTTATTACTCCATTGTTTTTGCAGAAAACTCTAACAGAACTAGAAATTGTGATGCATTTGTACTCACTGAGCAGTTTTTCAATCTTAATTTGTCTACTTTATGTTCAATCTCAAGTACTGTACGAATGTAATTTCGACAATGCTACACTAAGCGAAAACTGCTTCACTACAGAAGTTTTACTTATCTCAAATTTGGCAGTCCTAACTAATCAACCATTAGATCATCCAGCATCTGACGTTACATCAGCTTGTAAGAATAAGAATCATCCGATGATCATGTTCTTTATCCATTGATTTTCTATCTAGTAAAGCCAACGAATAATGGACAAGTGTGTCAGTTACCCTACAAAGTAGGCAACTACACTTGGGACATGTATTTTTGCTACAAAGGCTATTGCCCAACAGAAAATGGTGAAAATAGCGAGTGCGCACCAGGTTTGCATAATAGCCGACAGTTCTCATGTTTGTTCCTATTAATATTAATATATGATTATAGGACAATATGCTGCGTTCCAGTTTCGTGATAATGCAACAGAGTCTTACCAACTCAAGACTGAATTAAGTAACATCAATGTTACTAGTGAACAATATCTTATCTATTATTATTACATATCAAATATTGGTCAAAAAAGCATAACAATAATTAAAGAAGTGGATGGCACTAATGAGACAATCGATTTTGTTACCAGTAGTCCTTTTAATGGATGGATTAAACGTGAAATACTCTTTAATGCAACAGAGTCTGGTTACAAGGTGGAAAATTCTAAGCTTTCTTTTTTAATAGGAACTTTATTTTATTTATGCTATAATACTTTTCAGATCTATTTCGATTTACAAAAAACATCACCGGAACTAGCTCTCTTTCATATGGCATTGGACGAAATATCAATTCGACAAGTCAATGCTGGTATGTAAAAATACTGTACGTACAAAAGCACTGCTACAGATACATTTTGCTCAAGATGATCAACATACAACTACTGATCTTTCTACAGCAATTACAACTTCAGCTATTGATATTGCCAGGTTCGAAATTGAACATGATCATATTTAAATTTAGCTCGATTTTTTAAAATATTTTTAAAATAGTTCGTCACTATTAATGGTAAAAAATCCTTGATAAATTGCATGTAATTATTTCATTTTAATAGTCGAATACATCTATGTCGATGGTTCCCGATATTTCAACAAGTAAAAACCTTGAAATCTTTTCAGAAGAAAATGTGATTATGTTGTATTTGTTCGAAAGTAAAATATGTCAAAAACAAAAACTGGCACTAATTTTGACAGGCGAATTCGTTGAAAATCATATTTCATGAAAATAAAACCTATACTGCTCGAACACCTATGTCTTCACTTGCGTCCTAAATTTTGTTTTCGATCAAATTCAAGATACTCGATGAGCGAATGATTATTCTTCAATTATAATTTGTCTAGATGATCAACATATAACTGACAATCCAACAGCAGTAACATCACTGCTAATTCAAACTACTACAATAACTTTGTCGACCGAAGCCACAACAACAGTATTCAAAGTAGTCGACACAACAGCATCAAGTGCTGCAGGGAGCTTCGGTACAACATCTGTAACAGTAAGTGAGTAGTGTAAGACTACGAATACATAGAATAAGATTAATTCAAATAACTTTAATTGTCCAAAACAAAATGTCGGACTCACTAAAGTTTCACTTTGTCTTTAGATAGATGCGCCTACGATCGCGAATACCACATATGTTAATGGTAAAAATGATATTCTAATTATCATTTTGGTCACTGTCATACCAGTAGTTTCCATTGCAATTATAAGCATCATCATATCGGTGATACTATTATATTCCACAATTCTTCGTGGTCGTAATTTACGTCGCTCATATCGAAAGAAGCGAAAGCATTCATTAAAAAATTCTATAGAATTGAATCGCATTTCACCTATTTAATGTTCTAATAAAAGCTAAAACAATTTTCACAAAAAAATTGCGTTCGCTAATTGAAAAACTACATATTATTTAAGTTTTCGAGATCTTTTTTTATAAAGTTTTTCAACAGTCTATCTGTTATGATCGATAAAAGCTTGCATTTAATATAGCATCATGGGTGAAATAAAAGTCAACAATGGTATTGAGAATGATAACGATATTGTTTTACACTGTTATTGTTCGCCTCTTGCTCTCTCTCTCTTCGTTATCATCCATTGCTTCTTTTATAGAGAAAGATATATTTTATCTCTTATTTACGTAGCCGAAAACATTTCATTCATAGATTCAACAATAAATATTAATACAGATGGTGATATTTCTCCTTGAAAGTCATTTATTCTTGATCTTAGTCAACGAACAACAATAATAAATAGAAATAATTAAAAGACTATTATCGATGATTTAGCAAATAATTCTTGATGCATCTCTACATAGACTCAATTGATAACAGAGACCGAAACGAATGACAAAAATACCATTCGGTCTGATTCGGTTTTTCCGGACCTGGATTCGGATTCGATTCGGCTTTCCGGTCACTCAAAATTTTAATTCAATTCGATTTGGCTGAAAAAATGAAATTGAATCGAATTGAATCGAATTGATTTTTTAAAATTTTTTCAGCCGAGTTGAATCGAATTAAAATTTTGAACGACCGGGAAAGCCGAATCGAATCCGAGATCCGAGTCCAGAAAAACCGAATCGGACCGAACGGTATTTTTATCATTCGTTTCGGTCTCTGATTGATAATGATATAACATTCAAACATTTGAAAACAAAAATGAATTCGATATTGAACAATCATGAACTGATCGATATTAAAATATTTCAATAAAAGTTGAAATGTTCTATTGTTAAATAAATTAACTTTTCTAGTTTCGATCATTATTTAACATCCATTAATTTAGGTTTTGAAATTGACATGAAATCTGAATATTGCTATTACACAAAACGTGATCTATATTGAGTAGCACAAATACAATTAGGTTCTCATAGTTTAATTCTTTTACGTTATGTTGAAATACCAGAAGATAGTATATCTAGTGATTTCTTCACAGCTGTGCCACCCTATTGGAAAATTTGGGTGTGCGTGTGGGATTTCCACTCTCCACTCTCAAAACCGTGCTCATCCGCACCTACATCAAACAGAAAGTGAAGATCACCTTGTTATTTAGCAAAGAGTGCACTAGATATCATCCTACGATACTTCCGATCAGATTGACTCCGGTATAGACTTTGTCCTTTCGCCACCATGTGAGCCATCGTATCTCAAATTTCGGGTTCAACCCAGAATACGAATATCAAACGCATCTTCCATCGAGATCGAGACTGGCAAGCAAGCAAAACACAAACTCAGAGCAGCTGAGATTCTTCCGGTAAGACGGCTACTTGCGAAAGTACACAGAATGAGCCTAATCGTATGCTGCTCTTACGAAGGAAGGTTCCTGAGCGTTTCTCTGGAATTTCAACGAAACCTACGTGGATTTGTGAAGTCAAGTGTTAGTATTTCTAATGTTGCAAACTTAGCGACTGAGATTAATCCGTTAAAAAAATTGGAATAACAATTTGTTTTGTTTAGAACCCTGAGGGGGACCACAGATAAATTGTTTTTGTCTAAAAAAGTTCGCAAAACAAAATTGTAATACTGATAAGGCGGCTCAATTGTTAATGCTAATTCAACATATGTTATTGGTTTTCACTCATGCTGTCTTTGCCTAACCGAAAGTTGCGAATTATATGTCAAAAAAAGTAGAAAATCATATCTCAATAGTAGTCTTTCACGAACTTCGTAAATTACGAATCTTTTAGGGGTTTAAAAAATGCATGGCGTCACAACATTTCAAAAGCTCTATCGACTGATGTACAGAATAATTACATGAACCGAATGATTTGATTCTCAATCGGTAATCAAACTACTAATAGAACAAAATTTTGATTTAGCTTACCACCGATTGGCAATAAAATGACAAATAAAAAGTATCAATAAACTTTTCTCGATAAGCTTATGTGGAAGTGCATCTATCTAGAATTCAACGCTCCATTCAATGATGCATAATGTTGGCGTGCGCGGTGTAAGACTACTATTAAGAGATGATTTTCTACTTTTTTTGACATATAATTCGCACCTTTCGGTGCGACAAATACAGCNAACTTTCGGTTCGACAAATACAGCATGAGTGAAAACCAATAACATATTTTGAATTAGCATTAACAATTGAGCCGCCTTATCAGTATTACAATTTTGTTTTGCGAACTTTTTTAGTCAAAACAATTTATCTGTGGTCCCCTCAGGGTTCTCAGCAAAAAAATTGTTATTTCAATTGTTTTAACGGATTAATCTCAGCCACTAATTTTGCCATATTAGAGATACTAACACTTGACCTCACAAACCCACGTAGGTTTCGTTGAAATTTCAGAGAAGCATCCAGGGGCCTTCCCTGTAAGATTTTATACTTCCAACGGGTTCAATTTTTCATAGAATAGCAGAGTTTTAATCTCCATGAAATGCCACAGTAGCATGAGTTTTGTGTTTAAATGACTTTGTTTTTCTTAAACACTGGTAGTCGAATGATTTTTTCCTACGTGTCAAATGCTTTTTTTTCTTAATTCAATAGAAGTACATATTGTATTGAAAACTGATGTGATAAATTGTTCATGAGAATATCATTAAATTTAAAAAAATATTTGGGAATCTTTTGAATTAGTAAATTACTATTAATGTTGGTTTTCTAACAAAGTTAAAAACATACGTTGCATTTCAATATAGTGTTCATATTTTGCAAGATATGCTTTTGGCAAGCATAGTTGTCTTCGACTTATCAACATTGCTCGATTTGAATTCCATGAGACGAGATGAGAATAGAAAATAGAGTTGAAATGCAAAGAATACTGTGTTATTTTTGAATATCCTGAAAAAAATTCTGATCAACTTTTAGTTTAATTGTGCATTATTGATAAGAAAACTTTCGGTCAACTATTTCAGTAGTCGTCTTTATTTTTTTAATGTTACTTTGATAGCGAGAGTTTTAATTTCGATTGATTACATGTAATCTTACTAACTTATAACACTAATACTTCGACTGTTTGCTAAATTCTATTATTCATAATTGCGTATGAGTTTTTTTTTGAATCTCACATGACATCAAGGACAATGAATGTATTTTATTACTCAGTATACGTTTAAATAGAAATTTAATCTGAGAAATCATCATCACAATTTAGATATTTTCATATCAATGACTCCTTTCTTTATTGAGAACAAATGATCTTGATTGCTATTTCTCACGATTGATGATAAACGAATAAACTCGTTGAAGAAACACTTTCTTCATTCTTGCATATTTGAAATAAAATTGAAACAGAAAAGAATTCTTCTTCATTATTCTTAAATGAAAACAATCCGACATAAAAAAATAACGAAGAGTCTGCTGTTGCTATATCGGCGAGTACATAAAAATGGAAACAAATTTTTTTATCGTAGCAAATTCTCGTCAACTATTGAAGTGATATAAAGGATATAAAAAGAAAAGAAAGAAGAAGAAGGAAGACAGTGAGAATGGAAGTCGAGTGCACATTTAATCTAAACGTAAATCGTCAGACAGAAAGGAGAAAAAGGATTTTCTTCACCTTTTTTCTTGTCTTAGCTTACTTCACGATTCTTGCAAATTAAATATTTCTTAAAACCATGTCTTGTTGCTGTGGTAAAAATACAGATGGAACTGATCCTAAAAAAATAATATGTAGGTCTTGATAAAAAAATTTTATTCTTCTAAATTTCTTTTAATTGTTGAATTCTATAGCTGATCATTCAGATTCATCATCACAACGACCTATTATTCCAGTAAATAAATCTCAGAATTCTAGTCAGTGACCAAAACAAACCTTTGACTTTTACATTTTACAAAGCTAGCTTTTTTTCTATAGAGATTGAATATTCTATTACGGTTAAAACAGGTGATTTTCTAAATTCAGGCACCAATGGACCTGTCTATGTTAATATATTTGGTCGAGATAATAAGCAAACTGAAGATTTATTATTATCAGGAAAGGATCAACCATTCTCACAAGGTAGTACAATAAAATTTCAAATTAATGCCACCGATATTGGTAAACCACAACGTATTATTATTCGACATGAAGACATTCTAACTGGGTGGTATGTCGATTATGTAGAAATATCTGTTCATAATTTTTTGGTTAGGTAAAATCTTTGCTCGTTGTCAAGGAAAATTTAAAAAATAAAAGCGAAAATTTAGATTTACTGCTAATCGATGGCTAAGTGGATCGAAAAATGATCGTAAATTAGATGCTGAACTATTTGGTACTGAACAACCAGGTAGAAACAAAAGATAACTTATCAAAAGTATTGCAAATTATTTTTATTTTTGTTTTTGCGTTTAGCGGTGACATATAATATAGAAGTTCAAACCGGTGATAAACAAGTTGAACCATTGGATTCACCTGTATACATACAAATATTTGGAACAACAACTGCAACACCGAAACTTTTTCTAGAATCACAACAAGATTCATTTACAAAAGATTCAACATCTGAATTTACTGTCGCAAGCAATAATGTTGGAGAAGTAATACTAAATTATCAAAGGAAACCTTTTTATTTAAAAGTTTTACACTATATTTATACAGATCCAACGAATTATAATTGGTCATGAAGGATTAGGTAAAGTTAATGATTGGTATTTAAAAAAGATCAAAATTCAAATGCTTGCACAACAACAAGAGTTCGTATTTATTATTGTCATTGAAGAATATCCTATTTGATTTTGTTCATTTAGATATAGTATTAATAAGTGTTTAAGTTCAACACAAGGTGATCAACGATTATTTGTTGAGTTATCTCAAGCAAATCTTCGATCACCGTCTAGTAATGCAAAAAATAAAGTCGTCGTCGACATTAGAAATAATTTTATGAGTTCATGTTTTCTTTTAGGTCCTTCGGTCTATTTAGTAACAATTCAGACAGCCGATCTGTCTCAAAGTAAAACTACTGAAAATGTTGAAATGATTGTTCGTGGTTCCGCAGGACAAATTGCTAAACTATTATTAAAAGGCTATGCACAGATTCTTGGTGAAAATATTTTTCAACAAGGAAATTCAGATGCATTTGAAATAGAACATGAAGACATTGGAAATGTAATTCTATTTTCATTAAACAAAAAAACCAAGCAATCAATCTAATTTTGTTTTTACATCTATCATAGATTGAAAATATAACGATTGGTTTTAGTGATAGTAAACAACAAGTAGCTTGGCTATTAGAATATGTCGATATAAAATACAAGGAAACTTTCTATCGGTTAGTAACTACGTTTGATTACAAAAGATTCGATTTGTTTTTCTCGATTTGTTTTTTAGTTTTCAAGCTCATTGTTGGCTGTCAAGCCGTCTAGGACCAAATTTTAGTTGGATGACAATCAAACCTGACACAACAGAGGACGGTAATATGTATTGTTGTTTATATACAGTTTTCTTGAAGCACTAAAACAAATATTAACGTTTTCTCGTGCACTCTTTCTCTTGTTGCCACTTTAATTGGCAACTATTGCTCAAGGTTGTGATTCGATATTAAACACGTTTACTGTTCACTTATTGCCAATAATATAATTCTTGACAGCTTGCATATATTATAATACCATTTACGTTTCATTTTTAATGAAATATAGAATAGAAGAAGAAAAAGACAGAAACACAAGTAGAGAAAGTTTTGAGTTGTAATTGTCAAAAAACAAACTTGAACGCCGTCAAAACTGGAACGAGCGTGAGGAATAATATATCGATAAGCAACGAATTGCGAGCGAGAGAATGTGACACAAAACTACTTTCTATGCACATTATTATAACAAAACAGAAAATTTCTTTGTCGACATATAAGCTTATGCTAAGTTGCAACTAAAGAAACATTGTTCTCGTCAACATTAGAAAAGAAAAGATTTAAAAGCACAGTAAAACATATAGAGAGTTTTGCAGAATTTCATTACGAGACAAAAAAAAAGTCTTCTGATGACTCCGACAGGTTTGCTTTTATGATTTAATTAAATGGACATTTGAACTTTTTTTAAAATATTTCTTATCTATTGAATAGAAATTAATTACAAGGTTATCATTGAAACTGGCGAATCGAATATTAATGCTAATGTTATATTATGCATTTATGGTGATGAAAATACAACAACAAATTTACCATTGAGAACAACGAAAGATGGTTCTGACGCAAAATTTGACCAAGATAGTATTCTTGAATTTGATCTAAGGGCAACTGATGTTGGAAAAGTAAATACAATGTTTTTTTCTGGTTCATCATTGCGAAAATATATTTTTTAAAACATTTTTGTTTAGATTACAAAGATTAATATTGGCCATGATAGTGATGATAGTGAACAAAATTGGTTTTTAAAATCAGTTCAAATTGAAAAGAACGATGAACATTATACGTATGTTTACATAGAGGTTCTTTAGAGAGGAAAATACACAAAAAAATATAATTAACTGTTAAGATTTACCGCTAATCGATGGCTAAGTAAAGAAAAAGATGATCAAAAAACTTATATCGATCTTACACCAGATGGACGTAAAACGCCACCATCATCACCAGTATCTCCGAAAGGTGAATAGAAAATTGATTTAAACGTTGCTTTTTCTTTATTTGCCTGTTGCATAGATCAAGCTACGTATACTATTACGATTGTAACCAGCTCCGAAGCTGGTGCTAGCACAAATTCTGGCGTTCTAATGACAATATTTGGTGATAAAGATCAAACAAAACAATTTCCATTATTGAACACAAAGCAAGGTGATAAACCATTGTTTGAATCGGGGAAAACAAATGAATTCGAAATGGAATTAGATGATGTTGGCGATGTAAGTAGAAACTTTAAAAAAATGAATTTTTTCGCTGTCTGCAAAAATTGACTTTATAGATTAATAAAATTAATATTGGCATCGATGGACAAGGTGATCAACCTAGTTGGCATTTAAAATCAATTCAAATACGAAAAGGATCCGAAAATTACAAGTATACCCATTTGCACTCGTATTGTTTTTATTACATTCGTTTATATTTATACTTTAGTTTCACTGCTAAAAAAGTTCTCAATCAATCAACATCATCTATTGATTTAACACCTGGTCCAGCTAGTGTGTATATCAAAATCAAAAACGAACAAACTCTTTTGATTTTTTTTTTCTTCTTCTTCTATATATATATATATATATTTACATAGGAAAAACACCTAGTCCAGAACCTGTTAAAATAGAAACACCACGTAGTCATACACCTGAACAAAAAGCTCCACCTGTTAAAGGTTAGATTATTTTATTTCTACAAATTTCGTTTTTATTTTCTTCAAAAATTTATTTTTTTTTAGAAATATCATATAAAGTTTTAGTTTGTACTGGTTCAGATCAAAAGGATAGCATTAATGAAGATGCTGATTTTTATATAATAATTCATGGACAAAAAAATCAAACTAAAAAACTCTATCTTAAAGAAGCTACAATATCCGATAAAAAAGATTTATTTAAAAAAGATGGAAGCACAGAATTCGAATTTAAAACAATCGATGTTGGAAAAGTAAATTATTCAACTAGTTTGTTTTTTGTTGTGATAATTATATATATTCTTTCAATTTACATTAGATTGCAAAAATTGTCATTGGACAAGATGATTCTGACAGTGATGCTATCTGGCATGTAGATAATGTTACAATCAAGCGAGCTAATGAAATAACACCGTAAGAAATTTAAAAGAAAAAAAAAGTTCTTCTGCTGATTAAACAGCAAGAAAAGAATTTCAGGTTTAACGTTGAAAAAACAATCGAACGTAATTCTCAAGTTGAATTAACACCGTCGGCCATACCGAAAAAGACGGGTAAGTATGACTTTAAGTAAGAATTAGTAAGTTAACATGTTATCCTTTTTGCTTGCTATCTTTAGAAGCAACTTATAAGATTCTTATCAGAACTGGTCCGTCTCAGGGAGAAGGCAACGACAATAATTTAAACATAACAATATTTGGAAAAAATAGTCAAACAAAACAAATAACACTTAATGCAACAACAAAAACAAATAAAAATACTCCAATAAAAAAAAACGATAAAGTCGAATATGAATTTAAAACGAATGATGTTGGAAAGGTTAACTACATTTGTCAAAAGTTCTATTCAGAAAAAATAAAAGTTATTTTATTAAAAACAGATTTCAAAAATCGTTCTTAGTCAAGATTCAAATGAACAAACACTTGTATGGGATATCGATAATATAACAGTCAAACGAAATAATGAAACGACAACGTGAGACTTTTGTTTTTCTTCTTTTTATGTTCTTACGATAAAAGTTACTTTTAGCTTCACTGTCGAACGTAAACTAGAAAAAGATGCTGAAATTGAATTAAAACCTTCGCCTGTACCTAAAAAAACAGGTAATAATTAATCAAATGAAAAACACATCATCTTCATTTATTTATTTATTCCTAATGTATATTCAGGAACACCTCGCAAAGCATCTAAGTCATCCGATTGTGTACCGAAAACAATTGTGAAAACGAAAGGTAAGAATTAAAAAATAAGAATCGAAAAATTCTTTGTTAACTTACTAGCAGATACCCATGGTGAGAAAGAGAGAAATACGAAAAGTAAAGTCAATAGTTACGTTTTAGAAACATTAACAAAACTGAGGCAAACGAAAGCAAATTGCCAGCTTTTTCGAAGAGGGTGCCGTATAAGAAAACAAAATATAGAAATATTAAATGAGAAGAATCCAATCAGAAAAATTACATATTAAAAAGCGCGATGGTAAAATTTGACAGTTAAACATAAAAATATATTCTTATCAAATATTATTTTATATTTAGATGCGAATTATGAGATTATCATATCGACAGGAAATCAAGCTCTCGAAGCTTCAGCAGCAATAAAAATTCATGGTGACAATGGTACAGTTCGTATACCATTGACAGAAACAAAAAGTGGTGATAAACCTTTTCAATCGAAATCAACAAATGAATTTACATGTGAAACAAATGATGTTGGAAAAATCAAACGTATTATAATAGAACATGACGGAACGGATACTGATGTTATTTGGCATTTAAACTCAGTTCAAATCAAAAAAGGAAGCGAGACTTATAAGTAAATGACAACACATTTTTTTTTCTATAGTAACTATTTCGATATGTATTAATTTTAGTTTTCATGCGGATATACATCTTGATTTTAAAGAAACCAAGGTGAATCTTTATCCTATTGGCGCTTTATTTGGTCATTCACGAGATGATTACGTACAAAGTGAATTACGTCGATTGCGAGAGTCTCTTCGAGCTGAATCATCCAAATTTCGACCACCTATACAGTGAGTTGTTTGTGGAATAATATTTCAAACGAAGAAAACATTTTTCATTTTTAAATTTTTCTAGCAAAGCTTATGAACCATTTGTTTACAATGATTTAGGTCCATATTTTGATACGAGTTCAGTGGAAAAGGCTATTTATTCAGTATATGAAATAAACCAATAAAAACTTTCAAGTTCTTATTTGTTTTTCTTTTTCTTTTAGCCATTAGAAGCTCCACCAGGTTATTATACACGATTGACAGCACTTCGTATTGTTGAACCATGGGAAACATATGGAATGGATTATGCTGTTAATTATCAAATAATAAAACAACGTGCAGGTCGTAGTTTTAGCAGTGGTAAACGGCCGTAAGTTTTATTATTGAATTGATTTTGTTGTTCTAATACTAATGCTTAATTAACAAACAATATTCACTTTATTGCACGAAATTCACAGTAATAATATTTTTCTTTTTTCCGTGTTTCTTTTTTTTCTAACTATTTTAGTAAAAATATTTCACAAAGTGGTATTATGATTATTCCACCCGTAGCATTACCTTATGGTAATACAATAAAACGTATTAATACACTCGAGTTCGATCGTGGGCAACACGAACGAGCACGTTCATCTAAACTTCAATCTCCATCACGACATAATACTCACCACGAACAAGCTCATATAATTAAAATGAATCCCTAAATTTTCCATAAGCACATTATTTTTCTTTATTTACTACTCTCACTAATGCGTGTGTGTGTGTGTGTGTGTGTGTGTGNATCAATAGAGTCATCTAGTGATCGTGAAGTCCTACAATCAATATCAAAGCAATGTTTTTTTTGTGTGTGTGTGTGTGTGTTATTGTTTGTAACAAATAAAGCATTGTATGAATTTCATCATCGAACGAAAAGAATCTTTGATTTACACACAAAAAAAACATTGCTTTGATATTGATTGTAGGACTTCACGATCACTAGATGACTCTATTGATCGAAAACAAGGTTCAACGCATTTACCTAAATTTCCTTGCGTTAATATGCGAAAACCTGCGGAATATACACGGCCATTAACAATGAATGATGTTCCTAGAATCAGGTTAGTAAAAGTCCAAAAGAAAAAAATTCTTCGAGGCAATATTTCCTATTGATCTTCGAATAGATCATTTATACGAAGTCGTTACACGACTGAAGCTCATGCTCAAATGCAAAAAGATTACAAGAGAACTCACGATGATCTCTATCGAATGCAATTAGACGACTTGGATAGTTATCATAAATCCAATCGAGGTAATATGATACGTATTTATCATTCATATTTGGAAAATACACCTGGTTCAAAGAAAGCTCTAAATGAACTATGCGAACGTGTAGCTGGTGTCGATACAAAATCATCGATTAACTCTACAATTTAGATTTATACTTTTTTTTAATTTCATTTAATACATCAAAAAAGAAACAAAGAAGTCAAGAGAAAAAAATTCATACGCGTCATACACACATTTGTACGCAAAAAAAAAAACAAAAAAAACAGCATTGTCGCCATTATTGTACACATAATAGAAGATCAAAAAGAAAAATTAACCACAAACAACAAGAATAAAGTATTCAAGAAACAAAAAACAGATTGCTGATATAAAAAAAGGAACAGGAAAGTCAAATACCGGACGGACGACAAATGTTGTTGATGACGATGATGATAGAAAAGGGGAGAAAGAAACGAAACTCGACATGAATGAATCAATCAGTGTATATAATATTAATACTGGACACACACAAAATTGTTAATAAAACCTGAGAGAAGTCACCGTTGAAGAGAATTATATACATCTAAATATTTGACAAGTTTGCAATATAAACATAAACCAATAATTAACATAGGGAAATTGAGCATAAGTAGAGCACAATGGCACAGCACCGGCAAACTATCTGGTATTTAATTTTTATTAACAATTGCTTGCTGTGATGGTAGTGAAATAACCGTTGTTGTAGTTGTCGTTGTTGGTGGTTGTTGTGGTGGTGTTGATACGTGTTCACTTGGAGAATAATCAAGCCAACTATAATCTGGTTTTGTATCAACAGAATCAAGAAAATCTATTTCCATGTCCTTGAAAAATATATTTAGAGAGAGAGAGAGATTTAACTTTTGTACTTTTCAAACATTTCATTTTAATGACATACCACTACAACATTTGTTGCTTCCCGATGAAGAACTTCAAAAATACATTTTTGTACTTGACCGTCGGTATTCATTTGAAGACACAAAAGACGTTCAGCAACTAAATAAAATTTCATAGTCTAGAGTTTAGTTTCTTTTTTTTCACTATCACTTACTTAGAGCATCAAGCGCTCGTAATTTAGATAATAGTAAAAGTAATTTTGTGAAATGCATTGAATCATGAGTTCGATTTCTTGATATGTATAATCGTTCAACTTCACAATAGCGAGTTTGTAATTCTTCAACTTTTACTCTTGTTGCTTGACCTTCAATTCGATCTATTCATTTTAGAAAACGAAAATAATAAGTTTAAGATAAAGAAAAACATTTAAAATGTATTTAAATTTTACCATAACTGAAGAACACAATACAGCATAGTAAAACAAATTCTTCAATGGATAATTCTAATCGACTAAATATTCTACAAAACTGTAAAAATGTATGTCCATAACAACCGAAACCCTGTGTCATAAGTGTCTGTTCATCAACACAAGCACCATTTGATAAATATAATTTATCTTCTTCCGGCTCATAACGATACGCTAAACGTAGTAGAGCAACTTCATGCGCACCTAATTTGAGTAGATGTGCACGTTCTTGTATAGATAGTTCGTTATTGCCAGGCATTTGCATACAAAATTGAATACATTGCATGATACCTTTTTGACTAAATTCATCAGCTGTTTGCCAACGAATATCCGGTTTTTCCTAAATAAATAATTCGTGCATGAAATAAAACTAAGTTTATCAATTGATTTGATTTCCGGCAAAACATCTACTGTTGACTTTATTTGCTCGTGACTCGACTCAAAGGGAATTCACGAACTACCTTAATTTTTACGCTAGTAAGTGTAAAATTCAGATTTCGAAAATTTAAACAAATTTTGAAATATTTCTCATGAATACTCTCATTACATAGAATTTAGATAATATTTATCTAGAAAGATATGACAACATTGAACATTTTGAGACTTATTGAATTTTTCATACTGGCAGACTGAATAAACACAAGTATAGTATGGATCAATTTTAGCATTAGCTTATTCATGAAGCCTAACAATTCGAGGGAAATAAAACTCACGAGATAATTTTTCAAATTCCATTCGTGTAAAATTGTAAAAAAAAACTACTTTCACTTACATCGATATCTTGTGATGGTTTGAAATTAAAAGTTGACTTATGTAAATTGACACAAATTTTAATTAATTTATCATCATCAGAATTATTTTCAATGGCGAGACGTGCTGGTGGTAGTTTAGGTGCGAGCACAGGAAGATATTCAGTTGGTGGTACTTGTTGTATTTCATCAATGGAGCGTTTCATAATTGCAGTTGGTCGTTTTTTACTAGGACGCTCAATACGAGTATTAGCTGCTTTTGGATCAGCTTCATTTAGTAGTTTTTTTGCTTGGTTTGATAATCGTAATTCTTCTTTACTCATTCCAACAGAAAAACATTTTTGAAATCGCTAAAAAAGATGAAAACAATGCAAAACTTTAAAAGTCAAAAGTCAACTGTTCATTACACAATATTGACAACGATTTCTTGTCATCTTATTGATTTCACAATTTTGATCTTTATGGCATTGATATGTCATATTTTTTTGTACACTACGCCGGAAGAAACCCTATTTCATTAAAGTAAAATTTATTTGTAAAATCAAACAAATATCGAAAACACTCACTTTACAACCTAAACAAACAAAACAAAAACAATCAATGAAATGAAATGATGACAAATTGTCTTGCAATTTACCTTCACAACTAGAAACACCATAATGATATCCAGAACTTTTATCACCACAAACAACACATGGTTTATAAACTCGTGGTGGTGGAGGTGGTGATGCACTGGCTGGTGTTGTTGCTGGTTTATTAATTGATTGTAAATTAATTTGTTGAATATTATACATAGGTTGATTAGGAACAACTAAAATTTCCAAAAGATCCGATCAGCAAAATTTAATTTCAATAAAACAAGAAATTTTACTTGTATTATATACAATATTATCGAATGTAAACGTTTGTTGTTGATTGCTATTAAATTGATTCGCATTTCCATTAAAATATTGTGTTGTTGTTGGAATAACTCCTTCAGTTTTAATTACTTGCCCATTGGTAACATTATGTCCCGCACTAAAATATTCATCAGCTGCTGTAGCCATTAAAACATTACCTAAATGATGAGAACGATAGAGGAAAAAAATTAAGCACTATTGGTATACAATACCATTTGGACGATTTTTTATCGGTGTCCCACCATTCGTATTTAAATGTCCAATGTTTTCATTTGTATTATTTATTGTTGAAACATTGATGGTTTCAGCACATGCCATTGTATGGTAATCATCTGTATTTTCACCAAAAAAATCGTGATAATCAAATGATTCATGAAGAAGTTCGTTATCATCCATTTAGATTAATTTCGTTGAGTTCTTTCTTTCTTTTCCTTTTCTTTAATAAATCATTCTATAAAAATTTGAATTTCTTTCTTTTCGTTTTTATAACCGTTCATACGTACTTATTTCGAGAGAAACGAAGAGAAATAAAAATGACAACTCAATGTGAGCTAGTCTAATGCTCAGTTGAGCTAAACAACAAATAATAGATATGGTGTGAATGTCTATATTGCTATAAACGTACGTGTATGTTCCACGCGAAAGCGAATGAGCGAGAATTCTTTTTCTTATTTTTTCCTTTCTTTTTCTTTTTTTCTATTATGATCATAGGAATGTATTGGTCAATGTTGGTCGTCCTCGATGTGTCGGCGGCGGCCGTTTTCCTCCCCCGTCGACGGACAATATACAGACAATGATTATATGTTGGCACAATGCCATCGTTGACCAAAGAGGAGAAAGAAAGAGAGAAAGAAAAGAAGAAAAAAAAAATTCAATTTCCTTTACTATGTGGACAATTATAGCGATGGTAGCTATGACTAGAGTTATTTTTGTTGAACTTTATATGACCCCTATTCTACTGAGGAGTGAAAACCTTTTTTCGTTTCTGTTCTTGTGACATTTTAATGAAATTATTCGAATAATAAGTATCACTTGATGAAAGTATTCAAGCGGTTTTTTTTTGTCTTTTGTAATGAATGTTAAAGCAATCGAAAATGCAAGATATTGAAGTGAAAAATAGCGACTTGTCAATAGAAAATATCATGTGAACGCTTTGTTTTTGAGAAATATTGTAGACAAAAAAACATCGAAAGACACTGAGTGTGTTTCAAATTGACTCCAGAAGGAAAATCATAACAGGATGTAATTTGATTCACTTAAAGGATGATTCCTATACGACATGTTGGTAGACCACGCAGATGATCTTATGGGATTATGTTGTGTTGAAACATTATGTGGCACTTTTCTTTGGCTAATACCATGTATGATATTTTTCATGAATTTTGTTTTTGCAAATGACTCTTAACAATGTATTAATTAATGTTTACAAAACAATTCTATGAAAACATAACGAAATATTTTTATGTAACCCACAGTTTCTCCATCATGAGACAATTTCGTACGATCTTGAATGAAATCTATGCTATATCGTACCATTAATAGCGCTTAACACATTTTTGTGTAGTCTATTAGCTGGACGACGCCCAGTTTAATTTGCCCTTGGGTATGTCACTAATTATCAAAATAAACAACAATATTATGATAATCATACACATGCATATTGTATGGGTGTTCGATGAATAATTAGAAATGATGAGTTGTATACGCTACGAACTAACTCATGAATGTTCATCAATATCGTCATGCATGCAACGTGATAACATGAAAAAAATTTTTTTTCGTACTTCTAATCTACGTTCAAAATCTACACAATATGTGTATTTATTAATTATTTTGTCATTATCAGTTTTGTTTTATACAGAAAATTCCTAACACTAGATTTCACAAAAAACAATGGTAAATCATTCTGGCCATTTAATAAGTAAACTTGTTGCGCTTATTACATATGGTCGATGTTTTGCTTTTGTTCTGACAATCAGCTGTTAATGTTTGATCACATGTAGTTTTGTTTATTTATTCATGATCATTCTTTTGATATCAATATGTTGATGAAGTAATTAGAATTGATGATAAGTATCGTAAGCAAATTTCATCGATTTCAGATGCTAAGTGTTTACATCTCTCTCATATTCGTATCTTTCTTATGCGAACGAGTATTTTCATATTCTGGCCTCCGATTGCACTTTTTTTTAAAAATATAGGAACCCTTAGAGGATCAAGGTTGTCAAAAATATAGCATGTTTTATACATAGCGTCTGTTGAATTGTTTTGCTATTTTTTAACTGCTCTGCTCGAAAATCGGCTTAATGAAGCTGTTATAAACAGTTCAACCGTAGCCATGATCCTTATGTAATTTTTTCTACTGAAATTAGTCACTAATTCGAGGATCATTATAAAAGCTTTCTCAAATCGATAAATAACAACAAAGTAGATCATAAGCTTTGAAAAAACAAATACATGAAAAAGACAAATACTATTCTCATAAATTAAAGGAGACTTTTCATATTACGGACATGACTTCCCAAAAAATTTCAACCTAATTTTATTGTCCTGACAATCAGCATTTATTGCTTATTATTTTACACAAGTTTATTTTGTATTTTATCATAAATCAATTTTTTCTGGTAATAAATAAGTGTTTAAAAAAAAGATGTTCTTTTGGTAACAGTATCCGCAGAATACAGAGGGAAACTTATTTTTTCCAGGGATATATATATATATATATATATATATATATATATAGAGATTTTATATCTAAATAAAACAGCAC